CAATTTGGGAAAGTATATAATGAGACCATTTACCTTTGGTACGAGGCGGTCACAATAAATCTTAACTATTGGATGTGAAATTGGGTGGCTGCATTTATTTCATTGACCAAGCATAAAGTTCAAAAGAATTTTTTTCTAACTTTGTAACACACCCAAGCTATCGGATTTCACATGGGATGGTTCCAAAGGTAAATGATCTTATTGTATATAATCCCTATACATTTTAGATAAGATATTGTATTCCAAATATTATTACTTGTCAACCCAAATTGGTCCGAACTATCTCCCCTCATCATCATCATCAGAATTTTTTTCTCAACTAATTTGGGTCAGCTAGATGAATCTCGGTCCTTCATTCTGCTCTATAAGGGTCATATACTCATTGAAGCCATAAGTCCCAATATCATTGGTCACTACTTCCAACCATATCCTATTAGGCCTACTTGTTGTTCTTTTTTAACTTTCAACTTGAACTAACTCCCACCTCCTAACATGTGTCGTATTGGGTCTACGCTGCACATGGCTAACCTACCTAAGTTTGCTTTCTCTCATCTTATCATTTATTGATATCACACCTAAATTCTCCAGAATGTATAGGCTTGAAAATAGGTCGAATCATGTCCGGATCAATTAAATTGGTCCTAAGTATCTCCCCTCCTTATTATCATTACCATTAGAGCTTTTTCTCAACTAATTAGGGTCAGCTAGACGAATCTTGACCCGTCATTTTGCTCTTTAACGGCTATAAACTTATTGAGGCCATAAGTCACCATATCCTTTCATACTACTTCAAATTATGTCTTTTTAGGCCTACCTACCCCTTACCTATTTTGAGCCTTCCACTTGAACTACCTTGCACCTCCTGACATGTTTTGCATTGGGTCTATTGGGATCTAGATTCGGATCCGAAAAGTATATATGAGATTTGGATCCAGATCTGATCCCGATCAGATCCAGAATATTGAGATCCGTATCTGGATCCAAAAAGTATACATGGGATCCGGACCCAATAGGATCCAAAAAAAATATTTTATATATTGTATCATATATATAAAATAATATATTACAAAAAGTATTATATAACATATATGTATATATAAAATAATATATAATATTTTAATAACTGGGCCAAATCTGAATCGGATCCACCTGGACCCAAATCCGATCGAAATTACAATTTGGAACCAAATTTTGGATTTTGATCCGACCTGTCGGATTCGAATCTTGGATCCACATAGGGATCCGGATAGGGTTTGAAATTTGAGTTTCGGATCTAAATAGGGTAAATTCTCAATCCTACAAATATATTTATTTTGAATTCTATCTCTATTGTTTTGCCACTCACCCGTCTCAAGATCTTCATCTCAGCTACACTCATTCCATGAGTATATTGTTCCTTGATTGCCCAACATTCTGCTACATAAAGTAAAGCTGATCTCACAGCTATCCTGTAGAATTTGCCCTTCTCATTGATATGCAACGATTACATAAAACTCTAATTGCACATCTACACTTCCCCCATCCACATTTAATTCTATGTGTGACATCTTCCTCAATCTCTTCATTTTCCTGGATTATTGACCCAAGATATTGAAAGTGTGGCTTTTTTTATATTTCTTGTCGGTCAATCTTAACTACATCATCTCTTCTCATATTGTTACTAAACTTTTATTCCATATACTTTGTCTAGTCTAACTAATTTTAAAACTTTTAGATTCTAGAGTATCCATCCAAAGTTCTAACTTTGAGTTAATGTCGTTTCAAGTATCCTTGATCAAAATTATGTCTTATGGGAACAACATATACCATATTATCTCATCATGTAAGTACCTAGTTAAGGCGTTCATAATTAAGACAAACAGGTATGAGTTCAATGTTGACCACGATGTAGACATATTGTCATGGAAAACTAATTCGTCTCTCCATTCATTGTTCACACACTAGTTAGTGCCCCCTCGTACATGCATCTCACCAAGTCGATATAATGTCTGGAGACTCCGTTCTTTTCAATACCTACTGAATCAAATCTCGAGGTACTCTATCAAAAGCTTTCTCTAGATTAATAAAGGCCATATGGAAGTCTTTTCCCTTTGCCTTAACTTCTTAATTAGTTGTCTAAGTGGAGAATAGCTTCAGTTGTTAACCTCCTTGGCATAAAACCAAATTAGTTTCTGATACACTTATTTCATGCCTTACTCGTTGCTCAATCAATCTCTCCAATAATTTTATAATGTGGCTTATAAGTTAGATCCCTCGATAGTTCGTACAAATACGTCTCATTTATTCTTATAAATAGGTACCATAATATTTTTCCTCCATTCATTTAGCATTTTCTTTATTATCTACACCTTGTTGAACAACTCGGTCAATCAATCTCCCCCATGCATTTCCAAATCTCTATTAGCATACTATTTGGTCCTAAAGCCTTTCATATCTTCATCCTCTTCAAAGCTTCTTTCACTTTCAATATCCAAATCCTACGACTATATCTATGACCTCCGCCCTCATTAATGCCAATGGTTCTTTCTAAAGCTATACTCTTATTGTGTTTGTCATTTAATAATTTTTGAAAATAAACTCCCCACATTTTGTTGAACACTTCATCTATCATCAAGTCCCTTTGATTCACTCTTAATGCATATAATATGGTCTAGATCGTTTCACTTTTTCTCTCCCATCTTTTCACCTTTCCTTGTTCCTTTACTGTATAGATCATCATATGCTTTAAGTTTATCGTTACTTACTATTTGTTTAGCTTTTTTTTTAGTTTTTTTATATTATTCTAAGTCTTGATTATTTCTATTACATTGCCAAGTTTTATAACATAATCCTTTCTCACTAATGACCTTATAAACATCTTCACTCCACCACCAAGTTTCCTTATCGAAGTATCTTTTTCTTTCAATTTCTCCTAAAACTTGTTTTGCCACTTTCTTAACCATCACATTCCACGTAACATTGACCTCATGTTCCGATTTTCATTTTTCTTCTTTTTCTAATTTATCCTTAAATTAGTCTATTTTCTCATTTTTTAAATTCTACCACCTAGATCTAGCAATTACTAAATATCAAACATGGGTTTGTAAACTTTGTAAATTGTATTAGAATTTAACTTTAATACAACTACGCTAGCATGTTTTCAACCGTCCGATGCCAAACTAGGGAAGAACACGAGTAATCTTTTTGATGATTAAATTGGACAGTAGCAGAAATGCTAGCATACTGTTTTAGACGAGGAGACCTATCAAAATAGATATAACTTATCAATTATTTAACAATTTACCCATTCTCAACTTTTCCAAGTCATAATCATGTATTTTTTAATAGATTTTTTTTGAAATTAAATAAAATAAATAAATAAAATGCTAAATAATTCATTTCTTAGACCAATTTTGACTTTTAACATCCTCCCACTAGAACAAACTCCACACTCACTCCCTCTTGAAAAGATTTATGATCCACTTTTTTTGGGGTAAGTATTTATGATCCACGTTAAACTGGCCAAATGCATATTGTCAAGCCAAAAAAGACCTAGATTTTGAGCTTCTAGATGCTTAGACCTGACTTTGAAAAGACTGAAGAGTTTAGGTCGTTATAATTTTTAAGCACATACTGAAATATTCTTAGACAAGATTTTTACCGTGGAGAAGGAAAATTGTTTCATGCGGGCTAGACCATATTTTTATAATACGCAATCCAAAGGTATAAAGTATCTATCTTAAAGATGGATGCAAATAGGTAGTCAATCTAAAAACAATTGTAATTAACGGTTCAAAAGTTTTCTTATTATAATTATTATTTTTAGTTTTCAAAATTTTTTCCTTTTCATATTCATGATCTCCATGTTCAAGATTATATATTCTCTAAAAATTAAGATTAAATTATATTTTTTAAAATATATTTATTGCCAAGCTCATATTTCTACAATATATGGGCTGGTCGCATAGAAACCGTGTCCCATGGAGAATGCACCCGCGGACGCATATGATCTTGTAACTTGGAACTACAATGCTAATATATGGTAATCGTTCAAATATCGTGATACAAAAGTTATTAGATTGAGCTATTGCCACTTTGAAACCGTTGAGGCAGCAACCAGGAGCTCTTTGATGACGACCCTTCAAGGTAGCAACAGAAGAGTTCTCTCATGGGGTCAGGGGATAAGATTCTTTTTGTTGTACTCTCTTTCTCTCTCATGATACATACATGCAAACTACCCATGGTAGAACCATTGATCTATCACACTCAAATGACAAACTTTCTATATGCCACTAGATAGAGGGAATTGATAAATAAGATTCTTTTTTGTTGTATTCTCTCTCTCTCTCTCAAACATACTACATACATAAAAACTACCCATGGCAGAACCATTGTTCTATCACTCAAATGACAAGCTTTCCATATGAGGAATATTATATGAGGAACTTATAGATTTATATATGACACCTCTATCCAGCTGTCTTTCTAACCCGAAAGGACTGGACAGCTGAGATAACCCCAATCACAATGTCGCATTTAAAT